ACAACTTAGACAGCAAGATGTTATGGTCAACGGTATCGAATGCCTTGGTCAAATCTAAGAACACTGCACCACACAGATCTCCACTCTCCATATGCAATAGGACCTCATCTGCAAAACTGGTGAGAGCTGAAGTTGTAGACAGCTTGGGACGGAAGCCAAATTGTTCGTTTGAAATGAAGTTATTTGAATTTAGAAAGTCATAGAATTGAAAATGGACGACTTTTTCCAGTATTTTACTCATTGTTGGCAGAATAGAAATTGGGCGATAATTTGACGCATTTGTCCTATCTCCAGTTTTGAAAAGTGCAGCCACTTTCGAGCATTTCCATATTTCAGGACAATTGCCAGTGCGAATAGAGAGATTCAGTAACTTGGTGATCGAGGGACAAATAGCACGCGCACCACACTTTGGCCGTTCAGTGCCAGTTCATTATTTGTAATTGTTTCAATTCTTTGTTGTGCTCGCGTGTTTCTTTCCGCTCGTTTCCCGAAGGTGCAGTTACAGGGCGCGGTCCATTCAACCGAAATTCCCGGGCTGAGGTTCGAAAATTTCTTGGTGTCGAATGGATCGCAACGGGTCCGAACGGTCTCGTTCCATTCCATTCGCAAAACGAGTTTCGCGCTCATTTCTGAAATGGAGGAGCCTGAGTATCAGGCTTTTCTTACTCGCGGGGTAAGAGCTACCCCTATCCTCTCGCTAAGAGAGGCCCGATACTCAGGTTACTGTTGATCGTATTCAAAGCTAGATGACGGTTTCGACGGTGATATCAATGATATTGTGTGAGCAACAAGTATACAAAGAGAACAGGGGCGTAGCCAGTATTTTTGCATAGACGGGTTCGTACTCATGCCGATCAGAGTATCGCTGCCCCAATTGAAATGAAAATCCACTACCGGAGGCGCTCTTTGTTAGGGAGGTCCGGGGGCATGCTCCCCTGGAAAATTTTGATATTTTAGGTCCTCAGAAATCGAATTTCCTTGAATTTGAGCACAAATTTCCAATTATCTCAGCAGTGCCATATGTAACTAGGATTTCCAAGAGGGGATTGCAAATCTCGCTTCTAAAAGAAACGCTAACAAAATTAAAAATGGATAAGTTAATAGTTGTTGAATACATTACATTCTTCATGAATTACTGTAGTCCTATGATTTATCATTCACTCAGCTAAGAAGGAGGCGCCTTGGATGCTTTCGTGCAAAAATGTCGATTGTTTTACTAACTTCTATTTGCCTGTTGTAATGAATGTGCATTAGGGCAAGACCAGACGCAAGTGAGTCTTTAGTCGGCGCAGTGTACTAAACGATCGTTCCAGGCAGTTTCAGGTAGTTTCCCCGAATTGAATTGCAAAGAGCTGTGCATTTGACAGGGCTTCTAGTGCTCTTACTATAGATGGGAAAAGCGCAAGGAAAACTTCATGTCCTTTTACCTTTCAACCCACCATGTTCGACACAAGTTGAGCACATTTGTTTAGCTGGCCTCGGGTATTTCTTTCTCAATTACGGCTAGCAAAAGCTAGTTACGCTTCGGTGAATACTTTTAAAAAAACTGTAAACTTCATTGAATGTTCCAAAAGCGTGTTTGTTGTAAGGGGTTGATCACAGGGGTGAACGATTGCGAGGTTTAGACAGTGAGCCCTGCAGTGTGTGTACACAGCCCTTAGACTTTTTTCCCGTATCAGTGCTTGTGTGCCTCGCCTAGTAGAACATGTTAGACCCACCATTGTACCCTTGCCCCTAACAGTTTTTTATGTCTAAGTCATAACCCAAAGGGAGGGTTCCGGAATCCCTGGAACCCCTCCCCTGGCTGCGCCCCTGGAGAAAGAGTTCTGCTTCAGCCAATCCCTCAGTTCCCGAAGACAAAAACACAGAGTTGAGTGGCGATAAAGAGCACGTGGAAGGTGCGAAGTTCGAAAACTTCAAATCTTTGTCAGCTTCACAACGCAAATTGGACTCTAAGTCAGCAGTGGAATGGAATATGCAGACCTTCAAGGATTTAGAATCGTTGATATTTCAGCCCTTGCCACTGTATTAGCATCTTTACGATGTCCCTCCTGTATAAAGGGGAATGTTTGCCTCGAAGAAGACGAAGAGTCAAAAACGGACCTTGCGAAACATCGGTGTTGGACACCAATTGGGCTGGTCAAATTTACATGTGTTATGAACATGCTGCCTCCAATGAATGAGAACTCCTACAGGGACCATGTCAAGGCCTTGCGGAACGCAGCTGAATCTGTTGCCAAAGCTAGCATGAGTAAAGCAGCTGGTCAGTGAGGTCAAGGAGTTCTATGAGCTTGCTTAGGATGGCCTTTATGACATTGCTGTCTCCAGTGATGGGACAGACTTGGAGGAAAAGGAGGTTTTCCTCATCGTATGGGGTGGTGACAGCCCTGTCAACAATCACAGGCAAAACTTTAGATTGTGAAGTAATGGTTAAAGATCGTAGGGAGTCCAAGTTATGGAGAGGTAAAGAAGGGTCCCATGCATTTTAAGAGTGGTGGGAAGGACATCAACATAAATGCCATACTAACTTTGAAGGATTGTCAGGAACAGTGGATGCTAATGGTTTGCTAAATATTTTCCAACGGTCAGTTGAACAGTATGGTTTGCGCTATTTGGAATTTTTAGGAGATGGTGACAGCAGGGCCCACAAACTGTTAGTTGAAGAGGCTGTATGTGGTGATGTTGAAGTAGAAAAACTTGAATGTGTGGGCCATGTACAAAAACGCCTAGGTTCACGCCTTCGTTCCCTGAAATAGAGGCTTACAAAGAATCGTTTAGAGGATGGTAAACCAAATGGAGGAAAGGGGAAACTGACAGATAAAGTTATGGACAAGCTACAAGTGTATTATTGGAAGGCCATCAGGCAGAACACACACAGTGTTGATGCAATGCAAAATGCAATAATCGCTATTTGGCACCACACAAGTCTACTGACGACAATTCAGACCATGATCTCTGTCCTGAGGGGGAAAATTCGTGGTGTGGTTTCCAGAGAGATGCTGCTAAAGGAACATCGGATTACATTCACAAAGATCCCATTCCAGAGGCAGTGGCTAATGCCATGCTACTAACCTTTGAAGCCCTAAATGAGAAAAGCCTTCTGTTGAAATGTTTACATAGTGGTACCCAAAATCAAAACTGAAGCCATCGATGGACTGATTTGGCAGCGTGCTACGAAAGGAACTCACTCCAGCTTGCCAACAGTTGAGTTAGCAACCTTTTTGGCAGTGGCACACTTCAATGATGGTTCATCAGTATTAAATTACGTGTTAAAAGAACTTGACGTTGTTCCCGGAAGGCACTGCAAAAAGCATGTGTAAAACTAGAAAGTGACAGGATTCGCCAATCACGAAGAAAGAGTGGGGAACCTGCCAGAAAGCCTCAAAAACAACTGAGAAATTGGAGGAAAGGTTATTCTGACAGACTGGAAGAAAATGAGGGACCATCATATGAGGCTGCAGCCTTCTAAATGCATTCAACGGACCTGAGAACTGTTTTAAATGCTTTCCATGAACTTTAAACTGAATTTTATTTTTCAAGATTTCCGTATTTTCATGATTTTGAATGCTAGGAACAGTGTTTCTGAAAACCTATTTGAAAAAATGATGTGAAATCTTCACAGTGTCCTTAGTATCATTAGAGCTATGAAATGAGCCACTTATATGAAAAACTGACTATATTTGCCAGAGTTACTAGCTGTTATCTTTAGGTAATTTTGGACTTTTTGTTATGCTTCCTTGGAATAGTTATAAATTCTTACCAATTTCTAGTAAGGACCTCAAAGTGGGTCATTTCAAAGCCAAAGGCATCAACATTGGTGATATAAAATTTCAGCTTTCTGTCATTTTCTTTTTTTGAGATATCGTGCTCCTAATGAACCTTACATTTGGAGGTTCGGAAATGGGTGTGGTCAGATTTTTAGGTGTGGCTTCTCTGGAATTTGAGGAATTTGTGTCCGCTTATAACATAAAGAAATGCTGGACTTGCTGTTTCCAGTGGCATTAGTGAAATGTTTGTCTGTGAGACTTGACTGGCCAAATAAGTGTTTAAAAAGTGACCATTTTCAGACTATCGAGCCACCCTTGACCGAAATTTCGGGAAATTTTGGTTGAATGGATCGCACCCACAATGACACATTAGTACCGATTACTTGACGTATTTTGTCGACCACAGCTGACTGGTAAAATCCGGGCTCATAACGTGACTGTTCCCACGTAAATCGACCCGCTGATGTAAAACCGTCAAGCACAAGTTTGTATAAATCTGTATAAAATGCATTTCTTTGAAACTAGCGTCTTTCTATAAAATGGAAGAGAGCGACGGAGAACTTTCCGGGCGCCCACTGAAGTCTTTAAACACCAGAATAGCAGCTCCAGTTGAATTTATAAATCACACTGGTAGAACAATCAATCTAAAATGGTTCGATTACGATGGGAAAGAAGTTCCATTTGCAACTCTTGAAAGCAGTAATTGCCTTGAAGTAAACACCTACGTGACTCATCCTTGGATTGCAATAGATGAACAAACTAATGAGACAATGCTGCTGAACTTAAGAAAAACTTATTTTCCCGATCAACCTGTCATACGCCATGTAGACTACGAAGGCCGAAGATTTTACGCAGTCAGGAGTCGAATTCATATCACAACTCCAGGTAATTATGCAAGTCACGAACGAGTCACTTAGTAACTTTCCACATTGGGAATGCCCCTGGTTTACACAGGAGGATTGCAAACGAGTTGGGTGTAGTCAGTTCACCAAGGGTGGGAAGATTTTGTAAGGTAAAGGGGCATGTAGTCAGCATCACGCCAGTGGAACATACCGCTGGAGCTTTGCCATCTCAATTCTATAGCGAGGGTGTGGAACGGGGGGTCCCGATCCCACATTCCCGCTCCTTTTTCACTAGAATTACGCATCCCGCACTTTTTTCCTCACTATCCCGAATCCCGTTTTTCTTTCCCAGAAAAATTCATTAAAAAGTCTAATTTCTACAAAAGCTAATAAATGTAAGATGTAGATTGGTCCTTTCGATTGATATTTTGAATTTACGCGTGTTTTTAAAGGCTTCTGCGAAAAAGAAATAGCTTTTTGTACCTCAGTATGATAAAAGAGCGCGATATGACCGATATCATGATATGATATGGCCGTAAGATAAAACGAGAACAAAACTCTTACTGTAGCAGAGCTGGCATTGCTATTTGCAATATCTAGGACCATCTAGCGGTTAAGCTGTTGAAAAAATCCCCTCAAGTTTACAATAAATGTGAATCTCTGAAGAGACTGAAGAGCTTGAGCAATTGAGTCAATTCAGTATTGAGTCAATAACTGGTATGCTATTACACCATGTGCACTTTTCTGGCATCTGGTTGGAACAAAATACTCTCTGACAGTTTCTTTTAGATAACTATTAACCAGGCACACTCTATAGTTTGGTTTGAAAGGAGACACCACTTAGCGCTCTCCTGGTTGATTTGCTGTGGCCGCTAGATGATTTCCCAAATTCCTGACAGACAGGCAAAAAAAATTCCTCATCCCATGCCCAAATTTTGGCAAGTCCTGCTTCCCGGGAAGCAGTCAAATCCCGGGGTCCTGTTAAGATATTTAACGTTTTCCTGATTCCTGCACCGAATTTTGGTCAAATCCTGGATCCCAAGAATACCCTTCCAGACCCTCTATAGCCTTTGGCTTGGTCTTATAAATATGGAAGCCAGTTTGCAGTCACAGTGTCTCTCTCCCTCTACTCAGGTTGAAAGTACATGTAAGTCATGTAAGTCGTGTAAATGGTCAAGAAGAACTTCAAGGACTATTGAAAATTTATGATGATGATTTTGTTTTAAATCTTCTTACTGCAGTGTACAGACTTGAGGAGTATTGTATAAAGTTCTTAAGGAAGACTGTTCTGTCTCAACACATCAGTAGACTACCGCTTCCACAACCAATCCTTGAGGAAATTTCACAGACAGTTACATGATCACCAGCTGGGAATTTTATGCCTCAAGTGTCACTTTTATGTATAATGCTTTAAGCACAGGTGGCACTTTGTAGCTGATAGTATAATGTACTTCTTATAGTAATTAACAATAGACCATTTTACAGTTGTTTGCTCAGTGACCTGGCCTTTGTATGGCAGCGAAGCTGCACATAGTTAGCATCAGAACAACTAGTTTCACACAACAAAAGCAGTGGTCTGTATCAAAACAAGGTCAACTCCAGCCTGGCTGCCATCCAAAGGCCAGGTTACTGAGCAGACAACTGTAAAATGGTCTATTACTCCACAAGCGTGTGTCGGATATGAGATGATAGATAGCCAATGAGATGTGTAATACCGAGTTGGCTATAATCATCTAGTGTACATGTACAAAAGCAAGAAAAAATTGTGAGTGGAATAATTGTTTTATTAAAAATGCCCCCTAAAAATATTTAATATAGAAAACTAACATGAGGTAAAGATAATTTTGCTACCAAAAATAATGTGTACTCATACCATATTTAAAGAGCATGATAGAATGGCTCGTTTACCATGATGGCTAAACCAGTGAAAATTATCGAATTGCATCATTCAATGATCCAGTTTTTAATAATATTTAGTAGTTATAACAGTTCTCAGAAGCTCATCGTGTTTACACTAGAGAATATTAACTGTGTGAATAGAAGTCGTTGGTAAATAATGTGTTGGGCTGCATCTGGGTCAAGAGACATCTACTTGATTATCACCCCCTATAACTGATAAATGTAAATAATTTAAGAACTGTAGGGAATATGAGAGAGGCTGATGTTTTGAGTGCTAGACTTTTCTTGGAGCAAAAATGTATTTACTACCTTATATAATTAATTAGGTTATTAATTACACAGAGATTTGCAATAAGTTTGTGCCCATAGTCACTGCCCCGACTTATTATAAAAAACTCAACTTTTTGGGAGTAGGTTAGCTGCAGGATAATCAATATATGAGACATTTGTACACTGTATATCAATTTTACTGTACAAATGTAACATAAAAATTTGTTACATGTATATGTGAAAGTTGACTGAGGAACACCTTGTTTTGGTGAAAAACATCTGGTTACTGGTATATAGGAACTGATTACGTACAATAAAACAAATCAAATATACCAGTATGGATAAAAATGTTTGTACAATCAAGAAAATTATTCCTCTGAAACTTCTTTAAATAGAATTTCTGTTGTTCCAGAAAATGTCCATGCCATAACCTCACTTGAAGGTTTTGTTTGGTCCAGAAATATCCAGTTTAGCTTCAAAATTGTCTAAAATAAACTTTGGCTTATGAACACCTACATCCCTCCTGTTGGGAATTTTGTGGGTATGGATATTTTTTAGTGGCAAAGTGTTTAGCCTGCGAACACAGATGGATTTCTGGCTTTTGTCTCATGCCACCCAAAAATACAAAAGCTGGAAATCAGTCTGTGCTTACAGGCTATAATCTATTAACCTTAAGAGATGATTATGGGGTGAATTTCAGCTGGGGCCAGGTTAGGGGAATAAGATTTCAGCATGGGTTCCAAAACAAATTCATGTAATATCTTAACAATATTCTACCCCTTTTGCTGGGCAGCAAAAAAATGGTGAAATGGCACAGTGGTTAGCCTAAGTAGGACTTTGGTCAGCCTAAATATCACTGACTCAACAGTGGTTAGCGTTCAATAATTTTAAGGGTAACCCTCTCAGACACCCGTCTGACCTGATTTGTCATTTCCTCATTTTGCCATTTCGTGTTTTAAACACAACCTAATATTATTGCCATACTGATCACACAAGTCTATGAAAAATCATGTTGTAGTCTTTGACTGGCTGTTAATTAAAAGCAAGTAACCGTCAAAATCCCTACTGGATACCTTAAAATGGTCAAATTGAAAACATGTCCAAGATGCTTCAGTCTTTCAAAATTTTCGTTGGGGACGATATTGTTTCCAAGCCCCCTCAGGGAGGAAGCAGCTACCTGAACTTGATAGCTCAGTAACCAATGGCGAATCTAGGGGAGGGGCTTGGGGGCCCCAGGGACCCCCTTATTTCAGGTAAAAGAAGGAAGAAATCCCGGAAGGAAGAAAAGCCGGCAGGGAAAGCAAAATAAAACCACCCCACCCCACCCCCCGTTAGCTCAAGGTCTGGATCCGCCATGGGTAACTATGCATTAATTGTGTAGCAGAAATTATGTTAACTTTAATTTTTGGATGCCAAATTAAAGTTGAAGTTTAAAATGAAGTTCTATTACAGTTAGGTGGGGAGGGGGTACACCCAGCGAATTGTGAGAGGCAAAGCAACCTCGTCCCCAGATCTCCTGAGGGCGCAACAACACAAGAGATCTGGGAATGAGATTAAAATTAGGAGGGAAATATATGGGTGTGTATAGACTACGAGTAGTCCCTCTTTCGCTTAGTCCGTCGTGTGTGACGCGAAAGAAAACCGCTAGAAAAAAATGGCCGCGCGAAATCCTCTGGACGAGAAGAACGACCGCGCGAGATCCTGGGTGTATAAGGCCAATTCTGTATGTATGTTTGTGTTTGATGCCTAAAGACATTAAACCAACCTTCGTTTTTTGCCATAAACTTCCTGTTAAGGTAACAATTTATGGAATTTACCGTTTGTTTCCATAAATGGGAAATATTGACATCTGAGGCTCTCCCCCGCGGGCATGTCCCACGCATCAATCAAGATGACTTCATGACCATGTGACATGAACATCCGCTAGATCTGCAGACTACAAGATGGTGGACAGGCTAGGTATGTGATGGAATTGTACGTTTATTCCTTTTTTGGGGGGCAAGATTTTGCTGTAAAAGTCATTAGCAAGTTCATCTGCTCTGTACATTTATACTTTGTTTTGGAAACTGGTTATTTTGAGAGGTTGAAAGCTTTTGGGTCGGTGAAAAGCTCACTGCATGGCGTTGTGTGAGAGATGGGTTGTGCTCCTTGTACAGTTGTGTTGGGTACATTCAATGGTCATGCATTAGAAATAGATTTAGTTTCTTTCGGTTCGATTCCAGCTATCGTGAACGGGTTGAATTTAGCAGTAGCACAGTGTTCAGCGCATTGTCTTGGCATACATTTTAGTTTGATCAGCTCATCACGGCTGCAAACTTCACTCGATGTGAACTGTAAGGATTTAACCAACTTTAGGAAAGTTTAAATGAGAAAATGAATTTAATCTGCCTGCTTTACCACTGTAATATTTCTTTTTATCCAAGCGGTTGGTTGTATTTTTCGTTAAAAGGAATGCTTAATCTGCGTATCAAATTGATCAATTCAACAATGTTTTGCAGATTATTCATGATATAGTTAATATTTATGAGTGTCTTGCTTGACTCTTGTAGTAAGCGTACTATTGCATTTGTTTGATGATTTTTATAGCTAACACAGAAGCTAATGAGAGAAGGATAAGAAATGTTGAAAGTTGTTTTGGAGCTTCTGGGCAGGTAATATATTAATCTTTAATTAATAAATAAATTAATTTGCACTTTAAGTAATGTTTACATGGAATCTGAGTCCATTGAAAAAGTATATATTAAGTATGGTTGTGGCCCCATTTTATGGTGCTGAGACAGCCCTCCCCAGATTTACCCCTGCCGAGTGAGCCTTTCAAAGTTTCATTTAAGAAGTCAAGTGACCCTTTTTCTGGCTTTTTTTTGAAGTTGCTTCGGATGGTGAGACAACTCAGGGAAGCAACTTCTCTTATCTTTGTAGGGTAACCCTCCCTCTTCCTTGCAGGTGTTCTTATAAGAACTTGCTAGTATTGGACAATTTCGACCTACACTGTTACTAAATAAATGTATATTTACATGTATATATATAGTTTCATCCTTCTCCCAAGCTAAAGTCTTCCTCTCATTAACAAGTTGGTACAATTTTTTTCCAAACAATTTTATAGCCGTTACTGGTCCCTGGAAGAGTTTTGGTTGGTGAAGGAGTTTTAACCAAACTGTGCCGTAAGAAGCCCAAGCCGCGGCAGTTCTTTTTGTTCAATGACCTTCTTGTGTATGGAAATATTGTCATTAACAAGAAAAAGGTAAGAATTGTGCACAACTCTGTATTTGCATGGTGAACATTTAGTTTTCTTTCAGTAGGGTTTGTTATCAATGAAGTAAATTGCTGTGTTTAGTTTGTTTTCCGAAATGTATGTGCGATAATCGGGGGTCTTAAAAGGATGATTAATTGAAATCTACATGTATGGATGAGGGAAAAAAATAGATGTTGTAAACTTCTTATTTCATTTTCCAGAGCTACTCTCTGTTTCAATTTTTCATATGATGAAAAATGAAATTTTTCCAGCAGTTGTCTACAGTGCATCTATTTCCAGTGATGCTAAATAGTCTTCAGAGGGAAAATTATTGAAAAACTGGCAACTTAGTGTTTTTGTGCAAAAATATGATAGGTAAAGCTACCCAGGAATACTTGTGGGTTTCTGACCGAGGCAAGAGTTTCCCCTTGCATAAATTTTTTGAAGTGATATTACTTTTCTTGAAGGCAACCTTTCTTCTCTGGAAAGTACTTTTTGTGCCCTTTCAAATGGTATATAGTAAACTGTACTGCTGTAAATGCTTGGTAAAATATTAAAAACAAAGAGTACAATCTGATCCATTTGACTTTTTATGCATGTCAACTAAGAGTTAGTGATGGTTTCCTGGAGGGTAGGAATGTGTCTAAGCAGGGCTAAAAAAAAACTTGAATTCCAGTTTGCCCTTATGACAAGTATTTCTCAAATTGGCAAGTCATCATTTGCTCTTTTAATGATTCAGTTGGCAGATGACCTGCCTGATCCCTTGCCCATCAGGCAAGTGAGAATGGAAAGTTACTTGCCCAGAAGAAAATCTTCTTGTCCCAGATGACCAGACGGCACTTTTTTCAAGCCCTGCTAAGAAACACTTTTAACTGGGTTTTAGTGTTTTTGGCCAGTTGCTTCAACTGTTTCAGCAAACTTTAAAAACAATTTGGTGTAAAAGTTGTTGACTTAAAATTTGTAAGTGCATTTGAAGGAAACATTCGTCTTGTTTCTCAGGCTAGTGTGAGGGTACAGCATCAGGGAAATTTTGTTCTTGAGATTACTGAAATAAATTTTATTTATTTATTGTCAAATTTTCAGTACAACAAGCAGCATCTTATCCCACTGGAAGACATCAAACTGCAATCCTTGGATGATGAAGGAAGTAAGTTTCAATCATCTATGAACCTTAAGTCTCCTATTTGTAAACCCAAGCCCATGGTGGTGTAACTTTTACTAAGTATTATTATAGCAGATCATATCAGTAGTAGTATTCTTGTTTTGATTGGTTCTCAACAGGCATGTATTTTAACTATTGTTATAAAATTGGAGTACAAGGAACAGAAATGGTCATTAGTGGGTGTCCAATTATATGTACTCTTTGCAATTGGATCACTTTAAGTGGACACCTACTCCGCTGCCTGTCAATTACATCCTCTTACAAAACAAAACAATTGTTTAGAGCATTCCTGGCCACTAGAAAAAAAGAAATCTTTTACAGTGGTTACATAAAATTTAGAGCATAAATAATACACAGGTTCCTGCAGGGGTTTAGTTGGTGAAACTCACCTATTCTTGTACGTTTGTCTCAAGATTTAAAGAATGGATGGCAGATCATAAGTGCAAAGAAGTCTTTTGCAGTGTATGCAGCCACAAGGACGGAAAAGGCAGAATGGATGGCACATATCAACAAGTGTATACAAGACCTGTTGGCAAAGAGTGGGTATTTTAATCAGCAGCTTGTTTTGATCAGTGTTTTGAAATGAGCTTTAGCCTTGATGCATTGCCAAGCCTAGGATAATGTTCTCAGAATGGGTTATTTGACAATGGGATTTCACTCCTGCGACAGTTTTCCAATACTCATTAGTCCTGTAAGTCATGGTGTGCGCATTCTTCAGAAACCCACTCTACAACAGGAATGCTTACATGGCATTCAAACATTCCGCATGGTCTTACAAATGTTTTTTTTTGTGTGTGTTTGTGTTGTTGTTCTGCAACAACAACATCCTCTTTATTACCCTTTTTTCATTAATTAATACAGAAATGTATAAAATATTGCTGAAAATTAGGGTTCTGGCAACCCGAAATAACCACTAGGTTTAAAATGCCGGGTTGCCAGTTTACAAATTGGTTAGTCAAATTTTGGCCGGACACACACACGTACACACAGACACACATACAAAATATAATATATACCAGAAAGTAAAGAAGAAAAGAAGCTGAAATTACATGCGTGATCTATTACCTTAAATTGAAAAAAAAAAAAATGTTTGAACTGAACAATGCAGAACATCAGTTTAATAATGGTAAGGTGTTGCAAAAACAGTGATAATATCTTAATGTGAAAAAGAAGACTGTAACAAACATCAAAGAAGACTGTAACCAAGATCATGTATTATAAGACTAATCGTGAATTTTCCTTATGTAATATTCTGTTCCTAATTTGATTTCAGCGGGTAAGAAAGGTACGACTGAACATGCTGCTGTTTGGGTTCCTGATAGTGAGGCTTCAACATGCATGCACTGTCTAAAGAGCAAGTTTACAGCTCTAAACCGTAGGGTAGGTGCAACTTACTTGTGGAACTGACTTTCAAGTTTCTTCTTCAATCTCCGTAAATGTAGCAATATTATACTGGGTACATAGGGAAATAGCTGACACATTCCTTGTAAACTGTGATGGAAATCAACCCAAACATTCCATACTCTAGGGCTTGAAAAAAGTGCTGTCCTGTTGTCCGGGACAAGTAGATTTTCCTTCTGGGCAAGTAGCTTTCATTTGCACTTGCCCAGTGGGCAAGGTATCATCCAGGTCGTCTGAAATCTAAAGCGGTAAAATGACAAATTAAGACTTCCCAGGGCAAGCAATATTTGAGAGCTCCTTGTCCCAAGGGCAAACTGGAATTCTTTTTTTTTTTTCTTTTAGCCCTGTACTCATAACTTGCTAGGAGATCTTTACAGAGGTTTGTGTACACAGCATCTAGAATTGGTTTTTGTTTCATTCTGACTGCATGTTTGGAAAGATAGGGATCTTGTGACCAGCTACATCTTTTTCTTTTGGTCTAGCAACCGACCTCTCAAAACAAGGGAAAATGTAAAGCATGCAAACAAAGATATCTGGTTTTCAGGTTGATTTTTGTAAGGTTGCTGATAACTTTGATTGTTGTTTCTTATTCAGCATCACTGTCGCAAGTGTGGAGGTGTGGTGTGCAGTAGTTGTTCAACAAAAAAATTTCTACTACCCTCCCAGTCCACAAAACCGCTGCGAGTGTGTGACAACTGCTATAATGTTTTATCAAGTGGCAAGGTTCAATCTGATCAAGAACCTAAGAGACACAACAGTATGTTGATTTTATTTCTTTTCTAGTCAAATAAAGAACATGTATTGCCTCATTTGTGAGAGACATGTTAACCATGACATGGATGCCCAAGACAACATTGGTTCAAAAACAAATTTAAATATTACCTACGAAACTTGTGATACTCTTAAGTCATTAAGTTTGTTTTACTTTGGCATCTTGAAACTGCTTATGGAGCACAGTGTATAAATTTTAAAAAGTAGCTGTAGTGGCTCATGTTCCCCCGACAACACAGAATTTCTTCATTTCATGTTGTTGTTTTGCAGAGGATAGCAAAGAAATGTATCAAGAATAATAACCCACACGCAAAGCCATGAATGACCTGATCCTGAAAAACATTTTTGCTTAGAAAAATTGCCCAACCACCCTCAGAAATGTAATTGTCATATTTAAAATGCTGGTTTTATGCCTTACCACTTACACCCCCTTCTCCCTGGCTAATGAGCTTACCTCTTGTAAGCCCTGCATTTTCACAGAACACTGTAGTTCAAATAGAAACTGGAAAGTAGTGAGCAGGTCAGTTGAGTTACAACTGGAAATAACCATAATTTTAATATCAAAATCTTGTGTGAAATGGTGCAATTCATTGTACTGGTATGGTGCATGAATTGTCAGATTGATTCTCCCTCGCTGTGCAGATTGTCATCTTATGGCACTTCATTCTTTATTTGTCCAGCTGTCCCCACTCCACCACAGAAGACAGACAAGGTGGGAGATGACACGTCTTCAGGGGAGGACAACTCTGATGATGAGGAAACTGCTGTAGAGACTTCTGGCGTATCAGAATACCAAGTTCCTACCACGGTTTGTTGATAGCAACTTCATTGTCTGTTGTAACCTATGTCATGGGGGGGGGGGATGGGGAAGGGGGGATGTGTACCCTGTATAGTAGAATAAGTGAGGTCCATCGTGATTAAGTAGTACCAACAAACAAGTGCTGTGCATGACAGTACAAGTATTTTGTAAGTGTTACCCTTGTAGAAGTGCGACAGGCCTGAGAAACAAAGCAGTTCTAACTTATTTGAAACCCGATTCACTGAACTTTAATTGAGGATGGGATATGTTTTGCGCATCTAGAGCTCATATTCGCGCAGATCTCCATTAGATTTTGTATATTTTTTTTTCAGCCCACATTTTACCAAGGTGACCAGGCTGCTCCTGTGGGGGAGGGAGGTGGAAATACAACAGAACCTATGGAAACAAATTCTAATGAAGTATGATGACAGAGTGATGTGTTAATAGAGCTACTTGAAAGGATTTTAAGAGAAAGGATTTTCACTGGGGAAATTGAGGGCTTTTACATGCCCTAAACAGTACATTTTCATGTTCAAATTATACACCCATATGTAAAATCAGAGGAAAAGACTAATCACAAGGCATTGAGTTATATTTCATTTTATCAATTATGAAAGCTAGCATTAGACTAGTAATACCTTTTATTGTTATTGGTGGAAATGAAGACTTGGCATTTCAAGTTTCAAGGTTGCTAATCCAATTGCACAATAACCAAATCAATCACTCATCTTTTAGCGTACAGCCAGGACTGGCATTCTTAGCCAATCGATGGCATTCTCACATCAGCCAATCACTCTAAGGATTGCTAGGTAATATTTTTATGCTGATAAGTATTGAGCAGTCTAAGGAATCTTGACAAGTATAAGTAAGTGATAATTTGCAAGACCATGTGACAGGGATAGGTTGCGTTACAGAAAACACCAGAGGTCATGCTTGGTATGTAACTGACACTATTTTTCTAGCAGTTTTAACAGATACCATTTGTTCACTGTTCCGGAGAATTTCAATATATGCTAACAGGGTTGAATTTAAACTGTGACATCAGCAGTGGTCTGTACAGTGATTGACATAGAATGAAAGCTCTGTAAGAAATAGTTTTTATTCAAATTCAATTCAATAGTACCATAATACTGGAATATATTTTTGAGAATAAAATTAATTAGAGAAATAATTATTACATTGCATAGATTTCCAGTTCTGTAAGCTTTCATGAACATTCGTTCAGAAAGTTGTCACCTCTAACATGGCATAAAACAAATGTTGCCTAGTAACGTGTGACTAATATCACAGGTTGACCGAATGCTTGGGCCCAGGACTTCAACCTAGGAAGGAAGTTGCTGTTGCCTATCTGTTTAGCGAATGGTTTTTAAATTGAATCTAATGAATCACCTGGTATATAAATATAATATTTTCAAAATTCTCAAGTATTTTGCGGATGACTTAGCCCTTTTGTACTGGAAGTAATGCAATTTAGCAATAACAAATTGTAACAAAGTCAGTTTTGCAAATAAAACTGCATCTGAATCAGCTGCAAACGAGAAAAGTTTTTTCTTATCTTGTGATGTTTTATAGTTGGTTGACTGTGGTACAAACGTGAAGGAAGCATAAAGGTTGGCACACACAAGGGGGACTTGCCTCTGCAATTAGGGAGTTTAGGCAAATCACTACGGCTGGTGCAACTACGACTGCCGTGACTGAAAAGGTCTGGGGAGAGTACGTCTCGGTGGTCTGCCAAATTTGATGCAACCGACGTACATGCGCAGTGTCTCATTTTGGGGGAAATTTACTTCCGGTAGCCGTATCAGAGCCAGCCGTAGCGATTTGCTTAAACTCCCTATTAGATTCCTACAACAAGTTCTTTCGGCAAGTCCCTTTGAGTAAACTAAACTTATCCTTCTTCGCTTTCTCTCTCTTTCTCCCTCTTGTCTCTCACCGAGCAAAAATCTGTCTTGCAGGGTACACTGCTATAAGTACTCACGTGTAAACAGTACAAGGGACTAGTCTCTACAAGCAGTCTCCTCATGTAATCTGTAAGTAAGTTGTCGCGGAACTAGTCCCTCGTGGATGTAATATATCAAACACGAGAGACTGTGTTTCACCGGGATATCCAAACACCGAGAGGAGGGTTGAAAATAAGACGCGCAGCGGAGTATTTTGACGAAATTCGAGGTGTTTGGATAGCCTATGAAACACTGTCTCGAGTGTTTGATGTATCTTCTCAATCGAAACAAAAACAAAGGAGTAAACGGAGAAGTAATATAGTCAAAATCTATGCTTATTAAGACCGGGTATCCAAACCTCCATCACGGTTGTGATGTTGATGAATTATTAATGAGTTTGAGAAGCTTTGGTTGCCTCTTCATCTCTACACAAAAGAAGTAGAATTCTAGATAGTGATTACCTTTGTGCTGTTTTCCTTAAACTAAATTGGACAAACCAATATCTGACTAATCGTAACATACCCAAATATAGTCACGACCAATGCGGGACCGCAATGCGAGACCGCAAAATTTGCGGGAAAAATGAAGAAACCAATCCAAGGTTTGGGTTGACATATGATTGGTTGAGAAATCAACTTGTTTGCTCCGCATAGTCGTGGTCTTCTGTTATGCACAACAATCCAAGCGAAAGAAGGTCAACTCGTTGTCTAGCTCTGATTGAACATACTGTGTTGTATGACTATTAAATTGCCCCGTAAACACCAAAGCGACCAGATAACTTTCACCGGCCGAACGATCACTACCCTTTTCAAACTCATTAATAATTCATTAAGTTAAAACAAAGAAAATCAACCGTGAAGGAGGTTTGGACACCAAGATTTTGACGATTTTACTTCTCTTACGTTTTTGCTTCGATTGAGAAGATATATCAAACACCTCAAATTTTGTCAAAAACACTCCGCTGCGCGTCGTATTTTCAACTCTCTTCCCAATGAAACACTGTCTCTTGTTTGATTCAATGTATACAGTCGAACCTCCGGTTACGACCACCTCTCGTAAGCGACCACCTCTCCTCAGCGACCAGTCATCCAAAATACCAAGTTTCCAAGTCAAATCACTATACAAGTTGGAACCTCTTGTAAGCGACCGCGACCACTTTGTTTGTTTTTTTTTTTGAAATTTTCTTTTGTTTTTAAGCTCCCGTAAGCGACCACTTGACAGATAATAGAGCGGAAATTGGATAATAAGGTGTTATAACATCGCATAACAACAGACGGAAAGTACCGGATTGACTTCTAAATGAATGAAACATTCAAAAGTCCCTGCAGTTACCATATGCTAATGAGGCAAAATTTTGACCCAATATGGTCTAATCTCTCGGAAGCGACCACCGCCCGTAAGCGACTACCTAGGCTTGACGTTTTGGGTGGTCGCTTATAGGAGGTTCGACTGTATTACTTGAACCAACTTTAATTTCGAATACCGTGAACAGTCGTCAGTAACACAAGGAAGACAAACATTCCTGCCTTTAAGAAAGTCAGTTCTGCGTTTTTTTCCCAGCTTTATTGTCACTCCACTGGAATGTCTCCCACCACCTCACTGAGATAAGCAGCTGCAAAGGCGCGCAAAGCCACTAGCATGGGCTAGATTATTACATGAAATTTTCTCCATGTCATGAATTTCTGCGTTTTTAGTGTTGTTTTGTGTTGTTAAAAAAATAAATAGACGTCGCTAAAACACGTATGCACGCAAATTAATGTTCAGTGTAACATCAGTAGATCAAGGTGGATATACCGAGGGTAGATCACGCTGTGTGGCAATTGTTCATGGTCGCTTTCCTCAGCTCCATGCAGTTCTTGTGCTACATTTGTGTAATCGTCAAATTCTGCCCAACCTAACCCTCAAGCATCGCCCTCTTTATTTTTTGCCTTTCGCCTACGAAACGCAACGACGCCTGGGACGAGGCAGCGTCAAATAATGTCAATCTCCTGAGCAAATAAATTATGTCCCCTGTTGTACATTTTGTTACACTACTTTACGCCTTCTTTAGGGCAGTAGTAGAATGAATGCAATGCATCATGAAAAATAAAAAAAAAATACATGTGGGATTGTTTCCTATATATACTTTTCAGGTTTAGTTCGTAACATAGTATGTACTATGTGATCGCGGAAATAAAGTGACTTGGTTTTGAAAAATCCTGTACTTTAAATGGCAAAAATTAAGCGCCGCGAAAAAATTCCCGCCAAAATTACGAAATATAGATGAGGTGAAAATTTATTTCCAATAAAGCATGACAAGAGAAAATAGGGGAACACCTTGATTTTTCTTGGATATAGAGTCGGACCATTTCAAGACCTGTACTCAGAGAAAAGCACAGTAAAAAGATACAAATCCATATACGACGGTTACTCACTCTCTGGCCGTCTCGTATTTTTACACGACGCCATGCATGGTAGCCAGTCATATTGGCATTTTTACGTTTTCGAATTGCTGCTGAATTTATCAGACCTCATCTTTTTTCAAACGATATTCAATAATAAAAGGACTGAAAAGGGGTTAATTGAAGTTGATAACGTTAAGAACAATTCTTTTTAAGGCTAAGCAGATTAACCTGCTGTTATCCTAGGATGTCTACGTGATGAGAAAGTCAGATCGCTCTATTTCAATATGCCGCTGACATTTAATTCAGTACGTGCGTCAATTGCCACTTATGCATTTATGAGTACACTTCTAAACAGTGCTGCTATCACTAACAAAATTGACATAAATTTATCGGTGAAAAAAAGCTAAATTTCAAACGATGGTTTATTCTATTCTTACATGAAGTAAACCAGCAAGACGAGGGGCAGCTACAGGAAGTATCGCTAGAGTCACCGTAAAATTAACACAAGAGATTTGGGCCTGAATTTAACCTCTCTGCGTTGTGCGGATCGCTTTGATGTCCTGATTTGAAGATCGTTAGCCGAGCACGTGACAGAGTCCTACACAGGCCACGTTGGGGACAGTGGAATGACACTAGTCACACTACGACTTAAAATTGCGTGACATAACATGAAAAAAAATTGTTTTTAAGTGCTCATTGTTGCAGATCTGAAGTTACAATATCGATTTCCATATCATATAAACAGAAAGTAAATATGTTTCCTGGCTAAGCGCGCAATAATAAATCTAGTCTACAAGGCCTTGGTTATCTGTTTTATCAGTATATTTTTGCTCGCGGGTTGCATCTGACGTCTGAGGAATTTCACTCATGGCTATGTCAATTGTTGCTCTAGTTTCACATGTCTTGTTGACAATTCTCCAAAGCACGAGGAAAATTCGACCGATGAAAAACGTGCAAGAAACTGCAAGGAGAGCTTGCATAATGACAGTGTTTAGGCGGCTGACGCGATTGAACTGGAATATTACGCTGGCTGCCAAAACCCAAATTAAAACTGGATAAATTGTCCATGTGTAAAGAAGGTCATCCTTAAAAACAGTGTTCTCTAAAATAAACCATACCACGATCGAAACGCCGAGAATTCCCAGGGCGATCGTGACTGCGAGTTCTTGCTTTAGGCCGTGAAAGTATGTGATAGTTACAGCCAGGCTCCGGAGAGCTGCCACAGTTATCCAGGTCGTGTACGCGGCAATCCCGTTGTTAACGAGGAGATGAATGACCCAAAAGTCCAATCGACTGATGTAGTAGCGGTGTTTGTACAGACCAGAGTAGCTGCAAGCGAGTGAAGCGTAAAGAAACACCATGATCCCAAAGTTTAAGCCTGTCGTGACTTTGATAAACTCCCAGCTCATAAACTGCGTCCACGCCATGTTTGACAAGGTGGCGAGCGTGAAAAACACGAAGAAAAACGCGCTTAGGACATCGGGTACACGTTTCCTGAAGATATGGCTGAGCGAGTAAAGGATCCACAGGGCTGTCCAAGCGTTCACCAGCTTCCAGATGTCGAAAGCCCACGGAGCCGGGTTGAATTCTATGAAGTATTTTCGCGCCACCTGCCCAATGGACTTGTTGCCAAATAGGATCCCACTGCTGTTGTTAGAGGCGTAATTCATTACAAGGAGCAGTGTGTACATGATCATGTTGAGAACGATGCACATGCCCTTGATGACTCGGTAGCAGTCCACCATTTTGGAGCAGTTTTCTGAATGTGCTCTGATCTAAGCGCTGGGTCACCTTCAGTGCTCGCTGATATTTAGTTGATGAGTTATCTTCGTGAGGTATGTGTGCTTTAAATGGCTCTGGGGAATGGGTCGGGGCGCCGGCTAGGACTCCCCGAACGGAAGGGTGACTCGCTTAACTATTTGAACGAAGGAAAGATTTTGGCACGCCCTCTAGATCAAGACGTAACGCAGGAAAATCTGATCTAGAAAAATCGCTATATTTTTTTTTGTCCTCCCGTTTGTACAGCCATTTAGTGGCGTTCTCCGACGCAATCAACTAAAAATATCGTCTCCCACCCCTCCTTGTTTACAAACAGCTCACCTATCCTTTCCCCCCGGAAATTACAGGTAACGCCCAGTAGACATAAAGAAAGCGACACTCGATATTTGTACAGTCAAATAGGTTATTGTTATGGTGTTGTTTTGGTTTCGCTAAAATTTGCAACATGACATCAGTCACATATGAGGGCTTCTGCCGGCCTCTTTTGAGGTTATGCTATGCTTATTTTAGGTCTGACAAGTATCCTATATTGAACATATTGAACCTGATGTTGAACATGCCGAAATACCGATTATCACCCTCTGAACTCTCGGCGGGCTTTTAAAAGAAGCGTTTAGACTTATAAATATGTACGCCATTACACACTTTAAAATGGTTGAAAAGGATAGTTTCACAGTGCGACGCAAGTGCAAGCTAGCATAAAATGGTTTTTTCGCCTTCTTGAACCCCGTGTACTTTAACAATCACAGACAACAATTTATTCAAGGAGCCCAGAGGTCGTGGATTCGAATCCCGTTCAAGTCGACCTTAATTTATGTTTTCATGCTTTATTTTAGCGTCGCAACTGTCTAAGGTGAGAATATCAGTACTATGGTATTTCGTGCCTAATAATTTTTATCCGCAGAAACCCGTTCAAAAACAGGATGATCCAAATTACATAAAGGACACACAGTAACAAATAGCAAACGAAACTACTCACTACTCATTTCCTATTGGTTCATACACAAAGACGCTGAGTGACGCACGATGGGAGTCGGAGCATAAGAAAAGGGATCCGTACGAGAATGAAATGTTTTTACGACTTAAGCGTACCAGAAAAAAACCTGCGATCAGGCGTTATTTGTTTTTTTTTGCGGTGGAGGACGAGACCAAGACCGCCTGATGCCGGTTTTACCAACACTGAAGAAACTCCAATTCGGCGAGAAATCTGGACATATTAGGTTAGTGACTTAATATCGTAGAATATCAGGACGGTAAACACGGTTTCTGATTGGCTAATTAAGACTTTGGGAACGGTAAGAGAGGATACTGGCACTAAGGTGTACATGGCACATAACAAGTGTCTTCTCCGGCATTTCCGGCAGAAAGCGCGATCGTGAGAGGCTGGGGAGAGGGATGAGGTGCGTCCACACCAAGGCGAGGTACTACTCACGAATTTCAAGCATATCTCTAGTTCAATTCAGCGTGCCTATCGGAATTAGGGCTATGGTCAGCTCAACATTGAAAGAAATGGCTCAGTATTAGCTCCATTTGGTTGGCCACGACGTTAGGGAGCCTTAGCATTAACGACGGCGACCCCGAGGACAAGGTTTAGTAAAAAAAAAAAAGATTCATATTTTACCTTCGAATTTCTGAATTTTACAGTTGTTTTTTCAGATCTGTTTAATGCATCTATCGGTCTCTGAACTAGCTCAAGCTAAATATGTTACGCCAGTGTTCAAATCCAACTAAAAATAACGAAAAAATTAGCCAATGTGGTTCGCTTTCTCCAAAATGCGCAGAACTTGCTCATTTTACAACATCGTTTTACAGAAGATGGCTGATAGAGGTTCACCTGAAGACAACGTTGGGCGTGGTCAGTTTTTATTTTATCAAATATAAGTACAAACAAATGGAAGTGGAGAAAAAGTAGAACAATGATGGTTATAATACGGTCCATAATGCTAACAAAAGCCAAAGAAACAATTACGTGTACAGACGCGACGTGTCTGTCAACCCAACGCTGGCTCGTGTGCTGTACAAACAAACTAAATCGTTTAGAGACTGTTTTGTGATTGTTTGAATTAAATACTGCTGAAAATGTGTTTTACAGTATTCCACATTGTCATTCTTTTACCTTCATCTGGCTAAAAACGTCCAACTTCAAATATTCCTGGCCGTTTAACAAAGGTATAAATTAAACAAAAAAACAAAATCACCCTTGGGACGGCAAGAAGCTGGTCGCGGCCGCTTAACAGAGGTTTCTATTACAGTGTATAGCTGACAATAGCTGATTCTTCCGAGAAATTGGCCGCTGGCCGCCAAATAAAGGTTGGCCGCTTAATAGGGAGTCACTTGATAGAGGTTCGACTGTTTCAAGAAAGAATTACTAAGCTTGAGGCTTTTTGACTTTGCAGAGACTTCCTCAAAGAGTCCTATCCATTTTCGTTATAAAAGTATGTCCTATTTTGAGCTGTCTGTCTGAAGTTTATACATTGTTTATCGCAAAAATGAGTTAAATTCAAATTAATTTTTTTTAAGGGTCGATACAACTTTGTTGTTCCTAATTACAATTTAGGCAACGTTACCAAATTCGGAGTTTCTTACTTCAATACTTTTAAAGTTGCAAGTGCTTAAAGCTCGTGAAGGCGTCAAAAGTCACCCACTCTTGATTAAGAGTAATTGTCTTAATCCGGCTGTAGTCGCGAAAATAGATGTAATGGGTGGTCCAAGACCTATCTCATTACAAGCCAACACTGTGATGGTGTTATTCTGTCGTAAGTTACTTGTCACCAAATGTCGGGGGGAGGGGGGGGAGCTTCAGTGACCTTGCTTGTTTTATTACTGTTCGTGCCATAATCCACTATGTGTCTATCAATGTCACCGTTGCTTTCGCTTGCTCGTACTGCTAACCACGTGACCAAGTAGCTGGTAGACGTTTTCTTTACTGCTTTGAAATTTCGAGGAGGTGCAGAAGGCTCTGCAATTATAAACAATGATATCAAAATACGGCGGAGGCAGTATCAGCGATATATAACTAGCAAGTACAGAAGTTCCAAATACTTGCTCTACATTGCAAGAAAGCAAGAGATTATCAAGAGATTATCTCTTGAAGAAAGTAAATAGCAAATTTGACTATTTCCTTGTACACAAACAGACTAGATGAAAAATGTTGGCGATCGTGAAAAACAAGACAAAAGACAATTTGGTATGGCATGTCATTTTACTCAAACCTTGATGTTTCCATGGCAACCAAGGGAAGCTTTCCTAAATTTTTCCCACGTCCACTAGTGTTTCTATAACTCTTTACAATTAACCACTAAATTTTCCTTGATTTTTATTGCGTTAAATTGATCACGTAACGATATTAGGATAAGGTAACGTAAGTTCGTCGGTGGAGCTGCACTATCTGCCCAAAGGTCCCGTCAGAGAAAAATATCTGGATAGATAGTACTCGTCCATGGAAATTTTTCTGCAAACAAATAGGCTTATAGAAAAAAAAAATTGAAAGTCGCAATTTGACTGTTTTCTTTTTCAAATTTGACATTTGGCTTTCGCGCCTTTTATCTAAAAAAGGCTGAAAATAATTCAAAAGGATTTTTAACTGGCGCGCGGAAAAAATTATTGGTTAACAATGGAGACAATAGGTGTTTATGTCTCGGAACTATCGTTCTGATAGTTGCCCCTTGGAAATTTGATGTTCTTAAAACCAGCATATTTGTCCCAGCGTATTTGTGTAAAGAAATGATCTCAGCCCAGCGACATCTCTCTGACCGGAGACGTAGTGCTGCTTTCTCACCATTAAAAGAGTATTTGTTATAACTGAGATTAAAAATTACCTAAACAGCAAATTAAATTTTATCGGCAAGGCTATGGAATAACGTAACTCGAAAAACACGTCATTTCTTTGACATAATACTTTAACGCACTTTCCAATTAAAAAATGTTAGATGAATCCCGTCACCTGCTAGCTTCTTTGTATCTCGTCTGTTTTTTCTCCCAACTGCTGATCCTTTTACCCTGTGAAGTTTAGGGGAAGAGAGACAACGGCTCTCCAATAACTAAAGTAAAAAGAGTATTTGTTATACCTGAGATTAAAAATTACCTAAGCTCAATGATTTTGCTAATTTGGAGGTTTAAAAATTTTACCTGAAGGAGATCATATTTCACTTAGTCAAGTCATAATTGCGTATCGGTTTCGTTGATTACCCAAATCGAATCTACTCGATTTGAAAATGTTGAAAGTTAATTATGTGACTATGCTGTTAATGTTCTTATGCCGATAACTGATGGATTGTTACTCATACTTTCGCGTGAAAATGCTATGAAGTTGTGTGGTAATTAAATAATTTTGTTTAGAATGATGGTATGATTATAAGAACATAAGTAACATCAAAGATATTTACCATGAAATTTAAGGTGGCTGAACACAGTTTTTGATACCTGTGTTTCATTCACCTTTTTCTCTAAAACCCTTGATCTCT